CGGCTGAGGGCTTTGCCCGCGGGGACCCCTCACCCGCAGGGCAGGGACGGGACCCCGGCCCGGCGTCACGGGCCTCCCTCCCCGTCCCCCCGCCCCGGCCGGCCCAGGGCCGGCGCCAGCCTCGAGGGACCCTCCCGCCACCGCCGGGGTAAGGACGCCATGGAGACCCGCGTTGCCATGGCAACCCCCTCCCGCCCCAGGGGCCTCGCCACAGCGGGGCGGCGATCCCCGCGCCCCCCGCGCCGCCTCACGGCCCCCGCACGGAGGATACAGCTTGAAGCCGCGGAGGATCTCCTTGGCCCGCTCGTCCGTGGCCGACATGGTCCTGCCGCGCCGCGGGCGGGCGGACGGGGCTGGGCCGGGCCTGGCGGGAGCGCGGCGGTGACAGCGGAGCTTCAGGACCCCCCGCCCCTCCCTCCCGCGCACCCGCCACTGCCCGGCGCAACCAACCCCAGCAGCCGCCAGCGGCCGCCCGCCGCCGCGCCGACCAATCAGCCGCTGCTGTCCCCTCCTCGCCCCGCCTTCTGGCGCAGGAATGACAGCGGTACTGACCAATCAGACAGCATTCTCCCTCATTCAAGGGTGGGTGCGCAGCGGTCACCGAGACTCTTCGGTTGGGCCTGACGTGGCCGCGATGGAGGCGCCGCAGGATGACCGGGCAGGGGGAGCGGGCGGTCCCCGGGCCGGGAGGCCTCAGCGGGGAGCAGTCGAGGGGGTGAGAAGCCGCCCCGGGCCTCGTCAACGGCGGCCGAGCGGCCCCGAGCCGCTGGAGCTTGGCTGGCGCTTCTCCCCGGGCAGTGAGGGTCCCGAGGTTCCGTCTCTGGGTCTGCTCGCGGAGCTCCGCCCGTGAGCTCAGGTGATGTGGGGACCCGGGTCAGCCCCGGAGCGGCTTCTGCCAGAGACCTTCAGAGCCCAGCTGGACCAGTTCTATGTTATCTGCTCCAGGTGACCCTGCCTTGTCAAGGGGTTGGACTGGCTGATCGCCAGAGCTCCCTCCCAAACCTCGCAGTTCTGAGGTTCTGCGTGTCCCGAGGCCGGAGCCAACAGCACCAGCATTGTGGGGCAGGTTAAAGATAAATAGTGTGCTACCCCTGGAACAAAGGCAGCCTTCTTTGTGCTGCAGAAATTTGAATAACAGATCAGTTGGAGTTGACAGGGACTTAAAGACCATCCAGACTGGCCTTGTACACATCCAGGGATGGGCCATCCACAGCTTTGCCAGGAAACCTGTCAGTGCCTCAGCATCCTCACAGGAAAGAATTCCATCCGAATATCTAACCTAAATCTGCCTTCTGTCATTTTGAAGCCATGCCCCTTGTTCTATCACTAGAACTCTATTGCCTTGTAAAAAGTCCCTCTCCAGCTTTCTTGTAGGACCCCTTCAGGTACAGAAAGGCCTGAATGATGTCACCCTAAAACCTTCTCCAGGCTGAACAATGCAAATTCTTCCAGCCTTTCCTCATCAGAGAGGTGCTCCAGCCCTCTAATAATCTTTATAGCCTTTATGTTTATGTAGCAGAGTTGATTGTGGGGAGGGAAAGTCTCAGATTTGTTAGCACATTTCAGGAGCCAGTCTGCTCTTTAACATGAGCTAATTAACTCCTCTCTTAACAATCTGAGTGCAACTGATAAAAGCATTAAGTCATGGATAAAATAAAGCCAGCAGTTGTAACCCAGTCCTCAAATGAGGACCAGTGAACAGTCAGGGTGCCATCAGTGCACTCACTCATGGCTCCATTTGCCTCCAAATCACCCACTGTGCAAAAGTGGAGACTCTGAGTGTTAATAAAGGCTGCGTTTAATGCATAAGGGCAAGGCCGCTGCCAGCATCACTGACACCAGATCTTAATAATAAAAATAGGCAGCATTTCTTTTCCTGATGTATGTGATCCATGCTCAATTTCCCACTATCAGTTTAAGTGTCTGGCGGGGTCATTTTGAGCCTGGGCAGAGTGCCAAGGGTGAGCTGTGCCAATAAATATCTATCTATATTTTGTTAAGAGTCCATCCTGGGCTTTAGCTAGGCTGTGGAATTGCATGCTGTCTAAAGAGGAGGGACTAAAGATCACTGAGGAGAAAAGAGTGACAAGGAGAAAAGGCAAGCAAGACAAAAGCAGACCTGGAAAAGGCAGAAACAATTGGTTGTATGTAGGAAATGAGCCTGCCAGGTGGAAGTAGGACATGCTGGTTTACAGAAGTCATAAGAGGCTCCATCCTGTCTTTGTTCAGGTTCCTCAGAGATGAAGGAGCCAGAGACCAAATGGATCTCATAGAAGGGAACTCTTGCAGCTTTGAAGGGCTTCTCTAGCGCAGCGATAGGGATGTTTGTGGAGTTTCAAGTTGGAGCCTTTGCATTTCCTGGCCAAGTCTCAGAATTCCCAAGGTCACCTTGCTGTGCTGGGAGCCACAGGCCTCTCATTCAGGAACTTCTGAACATCACAGAAGAGCTCACAGCTGAAGTGTGAGGCTCCTGTCACTAGTGCAGGGCCAGGCAGCTGTGGAACACGTGGCAGCCCAACTCAGAGTGATAAAAACCCTGGGATCTCTCACAGTCCTTGGGCTGCATTAACACAAACAGCACTCTTGAGCACATCATCTTAAAAACCTCTTTGCAAGAAAGTTGCTGCAAATCCCTCTGTCTTTTGGTGCCACTTGCAACTGAAAATTTTCCTTCACATCTCTGGCAGGTGTGGCAGCTTCTGAGCTACCACTGCAGGTGAGAAGATGCCTCCAGCCTGCTCTCTGCTCCTGCAGCAGCTGCTCTCAAGGTGCAGGTAAAGGAGTTCCTTTGGTGTTTCTGCAGAGCAGAGTAACTGGGAGATAGTTCAGAGAGCCCCAGCTGGGGCTTCATCCCACCCCACACCTGATGGGAGAGGTTGTACAACTTCACATCTGCAGCCACCCAGACATCACTCCTTGCCTGGCTGAGAGGAGAGTCCAGCAAGCAGCTTAGTCCCTGCATCCTGGGAAATAAAGAGAGTTTGGAAACTTTTCAGTAGGGCCTGGGAGCTCCCCCTCACCATGCTCTGGAGGTGTGTGCTGGCAGCTGCAGGGCATGGGGATGAATGGATGAAGGGTCATGGAAGCACACACAGGTGAGCAATGAAATATAAGGGAAAATACAAGAAACACAGAAGTGTTTTCACTGTTGGCCCTCTCCTTGGGGAGGTCAGGTGTCCTCAAAGTCTGGGGGTCCAGGACCCCACAGCTTGGGGACATTACTGTGGCAGTGCAGGGAAATAAGGTGAATTATGTGCTGCCTAAAAGGGACCTGGGCTGCAGAATCACAAGGGGAAGAGGTGGGGTGAGTCAAGAGATAATGCCAACATTAAAAGATAAAATGGATTAACATGTCCTGGCACACACAGAGCTGCGTGGGTGGAGCAAGAGGTTGCAATAGCTGTTTAAAAGGGACTGAGACAGCTGGACATCCACATATTTTTCCTCTTAAAAACAAAAATCCATCCCAAAAGCTGAGCTTAGCTGATGCTGTCCTCCAAAGTCCAGGTCAGCCAGGCTGGCTGGCAGCAGTTGGGAGGTATCAGGACAGGGACTCCTGACTGACCTACATGGGGCTAACAGATGATTTTTACCCTCAGGCTCTGGCAAAAGGTTGCAGAATCCATGGAAAATAGCTCACAATTATTTATTTCCATTTCTGTTTCAGCCTGGAATTCGAGCTGCGGTGAGTGTTGGGAAAAAGGAGGCCACACACTGCTTGTCCAAGGCAACTGTTCCAGCATGTCTGCAGGATGAACCACGGGCCTGGTTAGGATGTGATTAAAGAGGTAATTCTCCCTCCTTGTGCAGATGAGGGCTAAGTGTGGCTTAAGTAAATTACTGGCTGGCTTGTTATAGCCCTGGCTGAGTTCCCTTGTTGTGCAGGGCTTGGTTTTTTACATCCAATTTGCTCTGAAGCCCAGAGTGTCACAACAGCATTCCAACACCTGCATCTCTGCCCTTGTCTGACACCTCTTCTCTGCTGGATGATGGGACCCCAGGGACCTGCTGTAGATGGCTCAGAGACACAGGCTAAGCCCCATCAGTTTCCCTAATAGTTTCTGATGTTCATTCCTTGAAAGTTGCCCCCTCCTGACCATGCTGGTCCATGATTTGATGATCTTCAGGGACTTGCTGACTGAAAGCCAGAAGCACTTTGCTCTCAGCTGAAGGATTTTTAACATTTTGTTCACAACATGGCATGGATGAGCCTACAAACCTTGGGGAGGTTAACAATCCCCAATTCCCTTTTGTTTCCACCCTTATTGTGATACCCTTTCAAGCATCCTGATTTATGCCCTGGGGAGGATCTTAACCCTTCCAGTTCCCTCCCTGATCCCCCATGTCACAGCCAAATGGTTTATCATTTGGATGGACCATTTTTCTGTGGAGTTCAAAATCAGTTCTATCTTCACTCCATCTCTTGCCATTTCCCATGAGGACTGGCCTGAGAGGCTCAGCTGGTAGAATCATAGAATATCCTGAGTGGGAAGGGACTCACAAGGACCATCGAGCCCAACTCCTGTCCTTGCCCAGGACAGCCCCAGGAATGCAGCGTGTGCCTGAGGGTGCTGTCCAAACAAACACTCCTTGGGCTCTGCCAGCCTTGGGGCTGTGATCACTTCCCTGGGGAGCAAATCTAATAATGGCTCCACTTCTAATAGCGAAGTGGCCTCACAACAGCAGCCCTTTGCACGGGTTATTTTGGGGTTCAAACCCCTGTGATGCTGCCACAGGACCTCGTGTCCCCTAAAAGAGAGGCAGGAATTTTATTGCTTATGCTGAACAGCTGCTGGGACGCAGCGGAGCAGCTGTTGCAGCATAAGCTCATGAAGTTTGCTCCGTGGCTGCTGGAGCACGGCTGTGTCGGTGCCAGCACCGCCATCCCGGTCCCCATCCCGGTCCCCCGGGGATGCCGGGCCGCGGTCCCCGCTCCTCGCGGCCGCCGGGATGGGCCGGAACGTTCGGCGCGGTCCGCGCGTTCCGGGGGGAAGGAGCCGCGCGCGGACACCGGCGCCGCCATCATGGCGGCTTGAGGCGCGGCGGGTTCGGCCCCGGGAGCGGCGGGACGGGAGGCCGGGAGCGGAGAGGTAATGCCGGGGCTGGGAGAGGCCTCCCGGGAACAGGGGCGGCCGTGGGGGACCCCCGGTAAATTACACCCTGCAGTAGGGCCCGGTGGGGCCCGAGGGCTCTGCCGGGGGTCTGGAGAACGGCAGGGCCGGGAAACCCCCGCCCTCCTGCTGCAGGGTCTGCGGGCCGCTTCCCGCCTTGAAACTCCTTGAGCTGCCTTAGAAAGGCCTGACCGCGAGAGAAGCCCGGCTTGTCCCTCTACTTGGGTTGTTGTAGCCTTTGGACAGGCTACGTTGGAGGGTGTGCTGTATTTCAGTCACTTCTCCCCGGGGTGAATGGGTTGTGGAAGCAGCGAGGTGTTCCCTGTGACACGGGTGTGCACACAGGTTGCAATAGCACCGCAGTTGTTTGAACATTTACTTGGAAAGGGGCAGAGAATTGGCATCTCTTCCCTACTAGGGCATGGATACAGCCAGCCAGTCTTTTGTAACCTCACACACCAGCGTGTGGTTTGATCACCTGTGAGGGAGGACAATAGAACTGTGAAATCTGAATCTCATTCCCAGCCCAGTCAATCCATATTGTCTCGTGAGGAAATGGCCCTCTCTGTGAGCAGAGGGAGCACGCTGATGTATCAGGCAGGCACACTGACTGTTGTGTAGTGCAGGGGTTTCTGGCAGAGCTGAGGTGCTGTTCAGCCAGGCTGCACGTGTGCCCCTGGTGGAGAGAACCCCAGAGAGACTTCGGGGGCTGAGATATCTCAGTGTGGGGAGTGTTAAAGGCTGCCCTCTAAAGCTCAGACCGTTTGTACCTGCAGGTGTAATAGAACAAAGTGAAGTGTATTTTTAGAAGTTGACTAACACAGGAAGCTGTGGTGCCTTCACAAGCCTTAATTTGGTTAGGCCTGGTGGAACAGCAAAGCCCCCGTGTGACTGTGCTGCCCCCACAAGGGTGGGTGTGGGCCTAGCCCACGTGGGTCACACAGAGCCAGACAGGTTCTCTGGTGTTTGGGTTTCATCACGGTTATGCCCTCTGCTTGATAATTATCCCATAGGAACAGGACACAAAACCTCCCTTATCTGCTCAGTCCTTTGTTTGGTCTCTGAATAACATGCTTGGGAAGTTTTGTCTCAGTTGTTTGTAAACAAACAGCTCATTTTGTGCAACTTGTTCATAAATAGTGGTTTACATTTCAAAAGCAGCATGTTGGTGCTGGGAGACAGCATGCACACCAGAAATGTCAGGCAGCAGCAGAAGACAAAGATTCTCTTTACAGGGACTTAAATAGAGCCTTTGTAGAAAGGGTATTTTTATCACTGAAGCTTCCCAGTTAACCCCAAACACTTGAACTGCACGGTGCAGACAGGGGAGCTGCTTACAGGCCCCTCACAGTTGTTTTTGCCTTTTGGGCTCAGAAAGCAATGGGAATTCTGGAAACACACTGTATCAATAGGCAGAGTCAAGGGAAAAGGTGGATGTGTGGGCATGCAGAGTGCATCAGTCCCTCACAGGGAGTTCTGTTCGTTGCTGCTTTGGAGCTGTGTAATGAGGAAGGAGGAAGTCAGTCAGGTGCATCAATAAGCATCTTTACAGTTGGCATTGTTTGGCAGCATCACTAGAAGGAAAAGTCTGAGAACAGCATGAAGTCTAAACTCTTGTGTTATAAGAAGGGATCTGCAAGAGCAGATCCTTTTAGGGAACCGCTCAGACAGAAATTTTGCTTAGAAATTGTGGGAGTCATCCTTGCTCCCCAGCTAAATCAGCAGTTGAACCTGCTGGGTTTTTGGCCTGCCCCCTGAATGCTGAAGAAAAGGCTGGCAGCTGAAATGTTGCTGTGCTGAGCACCTCCTGGTCCCCTGGCAGGCAGAGCTCAGCAGAGGAGAAAGGATGTGTTAATATTATGTTCTTTTACTGACAGATTGAAAACCTAGAATGGCAGGAGAACAGAAGCCATCCTGCAATCTTCTAGAGCAGTTCATTTTACTAGCCAAGGGAACAAGTGGCTCAGCTCTGACTGCTCTTATAAATCAAGTGCTGGAAGCTCCTGGGGTTTATGTCTTTGGAGAGCTGTTGGAGTTAACAAATGTGAAAGAGGTAAGAGTTGAGTTTTTATCCTGATTCCCCTTCTGCACTACTGGCATAAGGGATCTCCAGAAGTTTCCACAGGCAGCCTGTGGGTGAAATTTCTGTGCCAGGAGGGCCTGTTGCAACTTACCTGGGTTGAGAGATGTTTTTGAATAAGAGAGTGACCTTGCTTTTGCCTGTATATGTTAGGTGTTAAAGAACACCTATAGAAAGCTTTGCTACCTTAAGGCAATTGCTAGCACAGCAAAAACCTGGCAGCAGCACAGTAGGAGTTTTAAGAAGGCACTTTGGCAGCCAACAAGGGAAAAAATCCCTTTCTACTTCTTTACTGTCCTGGAAAGCAGAACTTCAGTGCTCTCCAAAAGTCTTTGTGAACAGATGTCTAGTGTATCAGGCCTGGGTGGTAACCAAATCCAAACCATTGCAAACCAAGGTGAAAGCAAGTTCCAGAGCTCTTGCTGAGAGTGCTTTGCCAGTCCCTGCCTCTTCCACAATGAAGGAATCTAAGCTGAGTGTCTCTGCAGCTGGAGTAACAGTGCACAGCAAGTTTGGCTTTCCAAACAGGCCCTTCAATATGCACAAAAGCACCTCAATGGTTATTCAGTATCAAATGACAAATGCTGGCTTTTTCCTGGGTTTGTGTGCAGTTAATGGTATTAAAAACCCAATCAATAAAAATCACTGCTTGGTGCTGCTGTTATTCCAGTGAAGTGTTTGCAGGCAAGAGAGGAGCTGTTACCTCCAAATGCACTCCAGTGCAGTGTCCCAGCTTGCTTTGCTTGAAGCTGTGGTGGCTCTGTCCCAGCTTTCACAGGATCCTCCCCAGCCATCACCATCACCTGCTTGCTTATGACCTGGTGAGAGGACCGGCCCTGTAGGTTGTCAGCTGGGTTAAGATTTGCTTTTTTCTTTTCCTCCCAAGGTGCCACACAAAGCATTGGCAGTCCAAACTGGAGTTAAGTTCCAGTGCATAGAGCTGGCTGGATCACTTGACTCTAAAACTCCTGAAATTTGCTGCTCTTGAGGCCTTAGGAAGGAAGGGTCCAGCTTGGGATTATAATTGCTTTTCTGCTTACGTCCTGTGCAGACTTCAGCCATTCTCTGGAGAAGGTGCCTTTCAGGGTTGTGTTGCCCATTTTATGTGATGTTTCTTTTCTCCCCATCCAGCTTGCTGAGGGCTCTAATGCTGCTTATTTCCAGCTGCTGAACCTGTTTGCATACGGAACCTACCGGGACTATGTGGGTAAGAGACTGCTGCCCCTTTGCAGGGGCTGGGACCGGGCTGCCCTTCAGGGTTGGCACAGGCAATTCTTGGCTTCCTTACATGCCTGGTGTAGTGTGGCTGGGTGAAAGCATCCAGGAAAAGGAGTTGCTTAGGAAGAGAATTGTCTGTAGGGGGTCTGGGTCATGTGTGCTTTTTGCTTGCTAAAAATGAAAGGAAGGGTTAGAGACTCTGGGGTGCTGCTGCTTTGGATGGGACTGCAGTGCTGGGTTGAATTCATCTGCAGCAGAATTCAGTGATGTTCACAGGCCACTTACCTCTGAAGAGGGAAATTTCAGACATCTCTATGGAAATTTAGATAACACCAGTTATGGAAACTGCAGAAAACTTAGACAAAATTGTTCTGCATTATTTATAAAAACCTATATGGTTTGTGAGATAACCTTTTATTCCGTGACGGCATTGCTGAAACAAAGTGAATAATTTCTTAGCTAGAATACAAGTTGAAATAATGACTTTTATACAGCTTTAGAAAGACTATGTGTGAATCATCTTTGTATCTGTTGAAATGTGCTTTTATCTCTAGTGCTTATGCTTCCATTCTGCTACAATTTAATGCTTCATTTGTGGGTAGCAGCCTCATCCAGACCATTACAGAGTGTGACAAATAATTCTGTCATAGTGCTGTTTCTCAGGGTGGTGGATGAGCTATCTAGTTCCTGTAAGGAGCAGTGGCATCTGTAAGTGCAAGGACTGGAAATTCCAGTGTCTGTGGAGCAACATGAGCCTCATGAATTCTGTGACTGATTAGAGGATGTGCTTGCTGTCCATGCTCTTGTGTCACTGTGTGACAGCACAGTTCATTCTTCCTTTTCTAGTGAAGAAAGAGAAAGGGGGAAAAGCAGTCAAAATGAAGAGCACTGGATGAGGTGGGATGGATGGGAGAGCTTGAGTGGCCCTGAAACACTAATTTCCATTAAAGTAGATGTTTTAAAGAGTTTCTTAGCTTTGGAGGGCTGCCAGTTTCCTTTCTCTTTTTAAATATTCATAAGGCACATGGATATAATACAGTGACAGTGTGGCCATCTAGATTAATGATTTCTGCTCTCTTCCTCAGCTTGGTACTTTGCAGTTTAAATTCTGCAGCTCTTCAGAGAAATAAAACCAGCTGTATTTGCAACCACATCAGCAAAGGGGGAAGATTTTTTTCTGTCAGCTTGTTAATGAAACAGAAATTACTCGGTAAAAGCAAAGCCATTGACCAACTGTTTTGGCAAGGCACCAGTTATAAATTACCTTATAATTCCAGAACCAGAATTACTGAAGAAGCAGATAAGAATGGAATTGCCAAGTTGTTCTTAACTTTTCCCCTTCTCTCCCTGGTTGGGCCAGTTTATCTGCAGCAGCATGTTCTCCTCACCAGCCAGCACCCACATTAGCTGGAGGTGTTCAGTATTTCAGGGTGTAGTGTAGCATAACTAGCCTGGAGTTCTGCAGCCTGGATTATGTAATTTTCAAAGTGAAGTCCTGAATGTTGTCTTTTTGACATTAACAGCAAACAAAGATAACCTGCCTGAATTAACAGTGACTCAGAAAAACAAGCTGAAGCACTTGACGATCGTGAGCCTGGCTTCCCGAATGAAGGTAAAGCGTGTGGGGTTTGACAGCTGTTGTCTCTTGGCTTTGTTTTAGAAAATGGCATCCATTCCAGAGCACTGAAGTTGTATCAGACTGCATGGGTACTCACAAAAAAAATCCTGTACTGTGAAGGTACATGTAGGGTACAGTGTTCTCTCCTTGTGCATTTGGGATATTAACTTAGTGGGCTTCCATGGGTGAAGTGTGGGGATGTCTGAACTGACATGCACATTGGTCAGTAAGGTCTGGGAAACTTTGTATGGCTTTTTTCACTGCTGGAGATGGAGAATCATTCTTTAAAACACTGACTTTTTCTTCTAGAGAAAATTATGCAACACTCTTAATTTCTTCTACAATCCCATTTACCTTTTTTCTTCTAGAATGTGCTATACTATACCAAAGCTTCAGGAATTACCAAAGTTGTGTCAGAATATTTCACAGCCTGGCAAGCATTTGTTCTGCCATGATCAGTCACTGCTGCACCTGTAGGTCAAAGTGTAGGATACAATAAACATTTGAGTCTCAGCCTTTTGAGACTTAGCCATTCATTTTGCTCTAGGACTGTTAACTTACTCTTGATCTTGCTGTTTTTAGTGCATTCCCTATTCTGTGTTGCTGAAGGACCTGGATATGAGGAATCTGAGGGAGCTGGAAGATCTCATTATTGAAGCAGTTTACACAGATATTATCCAGGGGAAATTGGATCAGCGAAACCAGGTGTTAGAGGTGGATTTTTGTATTGGCAGAGACATTCAGAAGAAGGACATCAGTAACATTGTCAAAACACTCCAGGAATGGTGAGGCAGTCTCTCCACCCTCCTTTTTCCTTGTACATAGCTTGTCCTGTTTTCCCCCTCACAGTTTCAAGTGCTGGCTCAATTTCACCATGTTCCATTAATCAGGAGTCTTATGCTGTAAGTAGGCACTTGGAGGAGGAGTCTGTTGGGCAAGTTTTCCAAGATCCCATCTGGGATTCAGTTTGTATTACATATCAAGCCAAACTCTACCACACTGTGAGCTTCTGCTCTCACTGTAGCTTTTACATGGCAGAGCCCCAGTGATGAGTCAAGGACTTTGCAGAAGGAGGTGCCAAACTGGACTCATGGTTCTGTGGTGGGAGCTGCAGCACTTAATAATGAGGGCAGAGCTGTTACTTTTCAGCCTTTTTCACTGTTTTGAGAACTGTGTGGGCAAATTCTCAAGAATCACAGCTCTTTGGATGGGATGTTTCTTCAAGTTTGAAGTTTCAAGTGGCTTTGTCTTCTCTTTGCTCCTGCAAATGCAGCCTGTCTGCAGCTGTAGTGGGACTGTGGCATTATCTCTTTGTACCTTTGCCAGGAAGCTGTTTCTCATCTTTGTGTAGGGTTCCCTTCCCACCTAAAGAAATTCCTGCATGGACTGTGGAGCCCATGGCAGATCCTGAGCTGACTGGGAATTGCTTCCTAGTTGCTATGGTAATGAGTGCATAAAAAGTAATTAAACTGCTGGGCAAATATGCTGTCCTGTGGTGGGGGCAGGTTTTTTGCTTCTCTGCTCCAACTCCCTCAGTCCCATCACGGTGGGAGGGCTCTGACAGCTTCCAGGACCTTGCAGCATTGTTTGGAAGGTAACAGTGAACCCACTGCCAATTCCCTTTTTGTCTTTTCCAGTTCTTGAGTTCCATGCTGAGTGCTCTTGTCATTTGAACACTTAACAGGCAGGAGGATTATATCAATATTACTTTTTTTCTATAATTTAAAATTTTGTGTTTGAATACTGTGTTGCATCCCGTTTAAGCTGTAATTCTCTCTGAAAAGGAAGATGAAAGTGCATTGAACCTGCAGTTACTCTCTGATGGTAAGGGTAATACAGACTCTCTAGAGAGTGCTGAGAAATGCATCGAGTACGCAGCAAAGCTTTTTCTTGCCAGCTTTTTGCAACTCTAAGCAGGAAGTATAAATTTAATAATCTCTTAAACTTTTAGATGAGCGTGACTTTTCAGATTGCCTGATTGAGCTGCTCCAGGGAGAATTTGTAAACACTGTTTGACATCATTTGTGTCTTGCAGGTGTGATGGCTGTGAAGCAGTTCTTTTAGGAATTGAGCAGCAAGTACTTAGAGCCAACCAGTACAAAGAGAACCACCACCGAACTCAGCAGCAGGTAGAAATGGAGGTGGGTACAGAGTCATCTCAGGCCTCTATGCTGTTGGATAAATGTTTGTTTGCTGGAGGAAATAATCTCTATAATAAACACCTGGTGTTGATGGTCACAGCTCAGAAGAAGGCTGATAATCATGCAAATAAGGCATGGGGTAGAAAGAAAACACATCTGCTTCTGAGTGCTAGTATGGCCACAAACATCAGGCATCCAGCAGGGTGGACCTTTTATTGATAAATTTTTATAAATTTAGGCTAGGTGACTGCACTAATTGTGGTTTCCTGTATTGATTCATTAGGAAAACTATGATTTCACCACAGATCTTTATTGCAACTCTATTCCCTTCGTACAAGGCAGGCAGGGGGTAAAAACCACTTTTCTGTAAAAGCTGGAAGTGAAGTTAAAAATCTCCGGAGCCTCAATTGCTCTGGCAGGAGTGCCCACGGCAGCTCCCCCGCGTCGGGCCGGCCCTGCGCGCTCCCGCCGCTAGGTGGCAGCACGAGCCCGCGCTCCGGCCCGGAACCTCGGCCCCGGCCGCTGGGGAGGCGGGGATGGGCTCCCAAGGCGCTGCCGCAGGGAGTATCGTCCCTGCAGGTTTATGTTTGCGTCTGCTTGGAGGCTTTATCCGTATCCATAGCGCTTTTGGTTTGCCACATGCCTTTGGCTTGGAGTTGACACACCTGACTCCCAAACCTTGGGGGTTTTTTATAGGTTTGTTCACTGTATTTGTGGTGAGCCCTGCAGAGTTCCAGGGGATCAAGGATGGTGCTTAGTGCTGTATCTCTCCTTTTCAGCCAGAGTAGCAAAAACATTGCTGCCACTTCCCACAAAACCAATTTCTTTTCCTGCTTCTTAGCAAATACCTGTGTCTCAGGTAGTCAGGTAGGCCAAATGGCATTTTTGCTTTTTGAGCTCTGTCCAGAGAGTGAATTTTTCCTTCATGGTCTCCTTTCCCCTTCCTGCTTCTGGCTGACAGAATGGTAGGGTAGCTCCTTCTCCACCAGGCAGTAGTAGGTCCCTCCAGCCAGACAGAAGGGTGGTACAATATTGTACCACTGTCTCTTAGGAAAAAAGTAATCCCTAGTTATTCCAGACTGGAAATACTATCAGCTCTGTCTGTAAATGAGGATGAAACGTTACCTTTATTAAACTCAAATGGAGAGCATGTTACTGCTGGAAGAGTCTCTTTTATCATTTCCACTCTTATACTCCAGGGGTTTTTCAGTGTTTATGAACAGAGTGTCTGCTGAAGGGGAGGAAGAAGCAGGTGCTGATTCACTGTCTCTTCTTGGCCAGGTCACAAACATAAAGAAAACATTAAAAGCTACAGCCTCGTCGTCGGCACAGGAGATGGAACAGCAGCTGGTAGAGCGAGAGTGCCCTCCACACACAGAACAAAGGCAGCCCACAAAGAAGATGTCCAAAGTCAAAGGGCTGGTCTCCAGCCGTCACTAGAACATGCCATCTAATGTCATTCAGTCAGGAATGACAACAGGAGGAGCAAAAAGGGCCTGCGTCTCCTTTTTCAGTGGGTTCTGGGCCAGTCCCTTCCCAGCTGGCAAGTAAAAGCTCTGTTTGAACAGCTCCCAGTTAGCAGCACCTGGCTAAGTTACACTGTGCAGCTCCTATGAGTTTTCAGGGTGTCCCTGCTCTGGTCCTGGCAAGAGGGACTTTTAAAGAGAGGGACTAACCAAAAGGGGCAGGAAAAAACCAAAATATCTGTGGGCCGTTTTGCTCCCTCCCAGCCAGTTCATTGCTGCTTAACCTTGAGGAAGATGCTCTGCTGAATCACATCATGGGAGAGCTTCTCTAGCAAGCATGTGAATCCCATTGAAGTGTGGCTACCAAAGCCAGGCTGGGAGCGAGGAAGCCATCAGCACAGATCTTTTCATTCCCAAAGGGAGCACAGGAAGGTTTCTAGGCCAGGAACTGCTTTACATGGAAGCCTTCAGCCTTTCCACTACCCCTGTCTATTTTAAACTGGGGTGAAATTCACACTACCTCGCTCTGTGAAGATGAGTTCCAGTGCTGGGCTGTTTACTTAACTGTCTGTTTACTGCCCTTACTAAGCCCTTTAATCTCTCACAGATGTAAAGCACTGTTCTGCATCTCTGAGGCATCAGTACAATAAGGAGGAAGCAGGCTGCTCTTTCACACAGACCTTGCAGGTGGTTAGGGGCATGCTAGAAACTATTTCTCCTGAATGTGATGTGACCTCCCAGAGCTGCTTGTGAGTTGTTTCCCCCATTGATACCTTCAAAGGGTAATGCATTCTCTTCCTTGGATGCTGGCAGTGGGAGAGGAGCCTGTTTGGCATGGAGGCAGGCTGGTGGCCCAGGACCCACTGGCAGGGGTCGCAGCAGCATCCCCTTGCCGAAGCAATGGACTTGATGAGTCTTTCTGAATTTTGAACACTTTCAGGTTGTATTTTCCTCCTTTTTTTTTGTTTTTTGTTTTGTACATTGTTGTGATTCTAAAGCATTTCAGCCTTTGTTTTGTGGGGGGTTTTTTTATTTGTTACAAACTAACTTCAGGTGATTTGCACCTAGTTTGGCACGGTGTGGGTTTTTTTTTTAAAGGGGAAGCATTGGAACAGCAATTCATAAAAAAGTACATTTTAGAAAAAAAATTAAAAATGGTGATTTAATGTCAGAGTCTGGAGTCTTGACTTGGAGGCTGTTTTAGGCTTGTTGTCCAATGGCACTTGTTCACTTGAGCATATTTGATTCTTGGTGTATGTTGACTGAAGTCTGACTGATCTCTCTGATGCATCTGGGAGACAGGAAAGCCTCTTCACGTGTTGTCAGTCGTTCATCTTTGTCCAGATTTGTGCAGAAGGATGTGTGGCAAAGCTGGTAGCTGAGCCCCGTGTCCTGAGCCTAAACAGCTTTGATGCCTGGTTGTGGAAGGTTCAGAGTTGTGCTCTTAGGCCAGTCAGTTCCTTCCTTTGCATCTAGCAGAGTGCTGCTTTGTAGTTTGGCTCCTGCATTTCACTTCTGTAAAGAGAAGCTCTTTTCCTGGGCAGGCAGGGGAGCTGTTTAAGCAGAGGAGTGTGACAATGCTCCAGTCCTGCAGCCAGCTGTCACCTGCATTTGCTCGTGCAATGCACGTGCCTTCCTCTTACTGCTACCAGGACTCTTTGCCATCTGTGTGTTTGCAGTCCTCAGTCACAGGACTTGCTCACTTGTGAAAGTAAATCCTTCTCCTTTTCTTCTCCTGCAGTGCAGGCACACCAGCTTTCACCTTTGGAGAGGAAGATCAAAATAGTCTCCCTCCAGCTTCCTCTGAGTCAAATCCCAGACACTTCTGATTCTGGTCAGGCTTCTGATTCTTTACCAGCTCTCTCTCCCCCTAGAAATGCAACAAGGATGTTAAGTGGATAAGCCCAGAGCACAAAGCCTTCACCAGTAGCTCAATGGAACTGTTTCCCAAGCAGTGGCAGGATTAGCTCCTGTTTCAGCTTCTCACAGTGTTCAGCTGACAGCTTCTCGGGAGGTGCAGGTGGACCTTGTGTTCCCAAGTCTGTGATGGAGATGGACTGTGTCTGTTTCTAGCCTGCTGTGTGGACAGCTGCAATGTGCTGGTCATCCATTTCCTCACTGGATTTGACTAGTGAGGCTCTATGGTCCTCTTTCCATTTTTAATCTCAGTCCTGCAAAGTGGCAGGAGGAATACAAATGCCTTTGGGAATCAATTTACCTCTTCATCAAGCCACAGTCTGCTGGGGAGGTAGATGTGAGTTTGGTGCCCTTGGTGTTTATTCCCTGCCAGTTTCAGGAGTCACATTAGTTTACTGAAGCTTCGTGGTTGGAAGTTTTTGAGTTTGTTCTTGTGTTTTTGCTGTTCTCAAAGCCTGGCTGGGGGTGAGGATCTTATTTATGCTTTGGTTCACATCGCCTTTGATCAGCAAAGCAGCAAGAGAGGAAATAGCACTTTGAATAAAGAGCTGTCCCATGTCTGATGGTGACAGAGGACAGGGAAGGGACTGGTGTGTTGGAGGGGATGGAGCTGTTTGCATGCTTGGCTTTCCTGGTGTGCCAGCAAAGGGCTTGGTGCTGCAAAAGGAGGGGGATGTCTGCAATGAGCCCAGGCTGAGATGAGTCATTAACAAATGACATGCACAGAGTACCTGGGGGAGGCAAACAGCTCTGCAGCAGCTGGTTAATGAATCTGGCTTGAAGGAAAGAGTTAGAAGCTATTCCAGAAATGAAGCAGAAGGCAGGGTAGTTAACAGGCAAGGATGCAGGAGGTGCTGTGCTCTTTGAGAACAACAACAGACAAAGACTCTGTTGAGTCCTGTTGTCTACAGGAAAGGCAGCAACTCAGAGCAGAGTTGTGTGAATTAGGGGCTGAATTGTGGGGAGTGCCCAGGGAGCTGAACTGCTATGGGGACGAGAGGGAGGGGGAAGCAGAGACAGATTTGATACAAACTCCCATGGATTGCCTGTGCCTGCTGGAGGCAGCCAACACAGCTTGTGTGAGCACTGCTGGAGCTGCTCCCTGGTGCAGGGCGAGCATCCTGCCCTGCTTTGCTTTATGGCAGCAATGGGATGCTCCAGCTGCAGAGATTGCAGCAGGACAGACTTTGAGCTATTGAACTTCTGTTTGCCTTTTCCACCCAGAGGGAAAGAAAGTGGATGGAAACTGCCTTCCCTCTGCTCTTCGGGGCTTTATTGTCTAGCTTTGTGTTCTGCAGCTCCACTTGTACTAGTGCTTGTTTAATATGGAATTGAGCAGTGAGCTGGAAAATGGAAGAGAGGATCTCAGCTGATTGCAGTGCTGGTAGGCTGCCCTGGCCCTAAAGCTGTGCCTCATGCTAACAAATGGCCCTGGCACTCCTGCCGAGACTCGCTTGATACCAGCTAACATCAGACAGTTCTGGAACACAATAAAGCAGTGCTGATGTCAGTCTCTAAAAGGAGAAAAAAAAAGTTTTGGATTAAAATCTCTTCTTCTTTTACTTCCCTCCTCACCTTCTTAGCTAAGTTGAATGCTAACTTACTCTTGTGTTGAGAGCAGGAGGGAAAATTAGTGATGCTGGCAGACCCTTCTGTCTTCAGATTTGAAACCTGATCTGCAATCAATCTTGTGCAGCCCTAAGAAATCTTATGGATGCTTGTGGAGCTGCTCTCAGGCTTGCAGGTCTCTCTCCATGGATCATGTAAAGGAGTAGGACCTGCAGAGCTGCTCTCCAGAGGGAAACTTTTTGGCAGAAAGCGAAGCTTTTGTTCCTTACAGAAGACAGTGGTCAAAAGAAGTGGCAATTTTCCCACCAGTCCTGCAAAGTGAATTTTGCTGAACATCTTTCAGTTCCTGAAAGAATGTAAAAGGATGCAGACCCCAGAGGGTGTTTTTGGTTTTAGTGATCTTATCCTATGAGGGCAAAATGTGTTGGTCCCTGTGTGCCAAGCAGAATTGTGCTTACTCACTGCAGGGAAAACAGAAGAAAGGGTGCCCTTATCTCTGATAGCTGTATTAGAACTAAAATTGCATGGGCAAACCAGACTTTTCCTAAACTTTCAGTTCTGTACAGGGTTATATGAGTTCAGCTAAGCTAGGAACCACACAAAGCCCACCCCTGCCCAGTAAAGCAGCCCAAACTTGTGCATTCATGGGGCTGTTGGTGCTGGGGATTCCTATTTTTGGTCTGAGCCTGTTGCAAACTGCAATGCAGAAAAACAAATTTGCTCTTTATTATTCTAAATAATGGGGAAATTAGGAGCCTGCCCAACAAACACAATAGACCCAAATAGCCCTATCTCAGGCACCTGGTCACAAAGTTTCCTGTTGGTTTTTTTCCACCCCACTAAGTCCTCTATAACACCTGACCTAATGCAAGGGACCCAAAACCTGACTCTGCATAGCATATTTTTGTGTAATCTGAAAGAGAGTAACCCAGGGGCATCAAGAAAGGTAAATTAAAGTTTAGAGAGATCTCAGTTCCTACTTGTAACCTCAAGCTTGTATTCTTGGTATGGAATTTTAGCCTGACAGTGTGATTGAATTTCTCGACAGAGTTTTTAGGAATATGTCATTGTTTCATTCTGCTCCATGATGAAGGTCCGTGACTCTCAGGGACTGTTGACATTTTGCTGATAGTTCCTCAAGTTTGGCCCTCCCTCAGAGCTCCCAGAGGTAAGTGACTGTAAAGAGAGTGTGTGTTTACCCCCCAGGCTGGTAAACCTCTCAGCATCCCCAGGGTGCTACTCCCCTCTCCAGTGGGTCAGCCAGGCAAAGGAATGGCAGAGCAGCACTTTGCTCCCTGGCAGTGAGTGCAGTGTGCACATCTCATGGCATGGCCCACTGCCTGAGTGTGGTAGCTGTGACCACAGTTTTTTCTTGTTGATAAGAAGAGATGTCCCTGCTCTAGTGAATGTGCATACATACACACTGGAAATTCCAGGCAATAATGGGATGCCATAAGGTCATTTAACAATCCTGAAATACATATTTCCCCACAAAGCACAAAATAATTTGTGTCAGTAGTCGTTGCTTGCTCTAATTCTAGTAGAAGATGCACACACTTCCACATCTCCAGATCTCCAAAGAGCCTTTAGGATCTGTATCATTAGGGTGTTTTTGAAATGCCCTGGTCACACATGAAAGCTCTGTGTTTCCAGAAGAGCTGATTGTGGTGGGTAAGCAGAGCCTTGCTCCATCAGGGATCAGCTTCTTTGTGATATTTGGAGCTTGTCTGACCATAGGCTGTATTTTCATGGGTATGAGGTTTGGAAGTAGTGTTCTTTTGCCCTTCAGATTCTTCCCAGAGATGCTGTTTGTCTCACCAGCCCTCATGTTTCACTCAGTGTCTCATGATTAGCACAGTCCTAAGGCTGCTCTGTGCTGATGCAGTCAGTAACATCTCGGTGTTTCATTGTCACCTTCACAGCTGTTAGAGAGCACCAGTTCCTTCAGGATCACCTGCCAGCTGTGGTGCTGTACCTTTTACATCACGACTCTGAGATGACACCTCTCCTTGCTGGCAGACAGGCCAGGTGGGTAGGCATTGCTCCTCAGAGCTGTTCTGCATCTCAGGAGGCACAGGCTGTAGCCTGGTTTAGCACAAAGGAAATCAAGGACAAGGACAGTGTTGTAAATAAGGGGCAAAGCACAGAACTGTGTCCTCTTCCTGCTGCAGCTGCAGAGAGCAACCTTGGGGAGATCAGTTCCTCTGCAGCTGCATTTCCCAGGACAGCCTTGCTCCTTCCTGCTGACTGTGACAGGGTTTTGGTCTCCTGGCTGGGCAGAGGTTGGTTGCTGATGGAGTTGAAAAAGATGAGTGTGTTCAGTAGGGGGGAGATCTTAACACCTTTTAAGCTTTTCCAGGAGTCATCTTCCTTTCAAGTAGCATACCTTTCTTTTCCCCTGATGCAGATAAGGTGGTCCATTGTAGGACTCTCAGCCTGGAGTATTATGGGTAATGTACCAGGTTAATTATGGAGGGGGCAGGAAAAATAGCCTGTGCAGTTTTCAACAATATCAAAGGGATGCCACCTAATGATTTTCCTATTAGCTCTTTTCCCATCCTGCCAGAGTCGCAGCAGAAGTGTCATTTACAAAGGCAGTTTGCAACTCATTACCCTGGATTTTCACTGTAGTTCTGCTCCAGAGAGCGTGGGCTTTTGCTGTGTGCCCCAACCTAATGAATTGCCTGATTCAGTTAGTGCTGCCATCCCTTCTGACAAGGTTAGTTGCTGACTGACAGGAAGGGGCCTGGATCCAATTCCCTTCTTGTTTTTAACTCACGCTTGTGTCAGGTGCAGGCTCCCTCTGGAAGTCGCCCTGTGATCCCTTCCCTTTTGTTTTTCTACATTCTGAGGGAAGCAGCCCATGCTTGGAGAAGTCCTGGAGCAAGTGGCAGGGGCATGTTTGTTGCTGCCCCTGGCAGTCCCTGCTCCATGCCTCAAGTCCCTTTCCAGATGGAAAATTCCTTTGCTCTCCTGCTCTGGGACTCTGGGCTTCTCTTTTTCTTCATTGCATTGGGATTTGCTGTCACCAGAGCTGGGCTTTGTAGCCCTTCAGCAATAAGTACCTGGGAAGAATTGCATGAATGGTACCAGGGAAAAACGTGGAATATGGGCTGGGGGAACAGAACGGGTTTCCCAGACATGAGAAGGCAACAGTGTCCCTGTTGTGAGTGCTCCATGGTCTGCTCCAGCCTGTTTGGGCTTTGCCAGGCACTTGTACTGCAGCACTGGAGAAAGCTCTTTTTCCTTTTCCACTAGAGAGCTGTGTGCCCTTTCAGGCTGGGGGCTGATGGCTCAACTCCTGCTAGGAATTGCTCCTGGAGAGGAGAAATCAAGGCTGTTCCTAAATCACATCACGAGTGTTCCCATTTGGAAGCTGAATTGGCTACTGCTCATCCAGCTGGTGGTGCAGGAAATGTGTAGGTCCCATGAGTGCTAATTTGACCTGAGTATGGACAGGAGACCCTGGAACTCCTTGTCCCCTCACTTCCAGGAGTGTGCACACACCTCTGCTAAAGGCCGTTCTCTGAGACTGTGGTTGAGATATGAGATGCCATCTCCTGAGGCTGCACCTTGCATCCAGAACAGCTGTTGATCACTTATGCTGTCTGGGCTGGGGTGTAGCAGGGAAATTTTCCAGGGCTGGCCATGGATCCTTTCATGGGATGTGAGGATCTGACCTATCTGGCCATCAGGGGAGGCAGTGATGTGAGATGAATTTGTTTTTGCTGCACACGATGCCTCCTTGCCTCTTAATTGCATTCCTGTGGCCCCTTTTTCTTGCTGTCCTTGTTTTCTACTGAGCCCCTGTCAGGGAGACCCAGTTGTGGCCATTTTGGGTGATTGCTGTGTTCTAACGAGCCACTTCTGATTCCCATTCTTGCTTGTCCAGTGAAGCAGGAAAGTGCTCATCAGTGCTCTGAGAACTGACCTCTGCTGGCAGTGCCACTCTGCCTGTCAGACCCACTGGTCTGGCTGTGCCACAGAAGGGCTGAGCTTGGGTGGATCTGAGCTTTCCCAAGTTTTGCTGCCTTCTCTCTTGCACATCATCACCACACATGGGCACATATTCCTGTCCTGCTGGTGGGAATCCACATCCTAAGGGACAGGTGGCTCTCTGGTCAAACTAGAGGCAGGAAAGTGAGGAAACAAGCTGTTATCCTCTCCCTCTGCACCAGGAGCTCTAGCTCTGATTGCTTTTCTCTGCCAAGCTAATGGCCTTTTGCTATACAGCTTTGCCCTTTTCCTTGGGCTTGCTTTTTCCCAGGAAGCCCAGTGGATGGAACAGACCCATGCTGTGGGCTGTGCTTTTATTCTGGGACAATGGTGCTGAGGAGAAACAGGAATCCAGGCTGTACATGACCCCAGGCTGTGATCTTCAATCTCCCAACCTTATCTCAGGTTCTGCCTCACTTATGTGGTAAAATTGTGTGGATTAAATTCCAGAGGCTGAGTCTCTGCTGCTGTGTTGAGGACAACCCCTCTGTCACTAGGCAGGTGGTTTTATTTCAGCTCTGGCTTGCAGCAACAAGCCAAAACTGGAAGGGGAATTGTCCCCACCTTGGTCCCAGCCTGTCACTATATCATGGTCACTATTCTGGCTTCATGCTCAAGGACCAGGACCCTGAACAGCACCTGCAGCACCACCTTCTTACACCTCTGTTCAGACCTGGCTGTGCAAGGTCCGCACAGTGATTCCTTGTTGTCCTTTAGCTTTCCTGAGTGACTGTGGTCAGTCCCCTCTATTGGGCATCTCTTTAGGAGCTCCTAATACAGCCCCTCCTTCCCTCTACAGATGTGTGGAGCTGGAAGGATGACCCTTCACAGGTGTATTTGCCTTACACAGCCCTGGCAGTGGGTTGCCATTCCCTATGGGAGTTGCCATTTTCCCATCTTGCCTCCCTCCCTGCCAGGGTGTTGATTTTGTTCCCCATAGGCAACATCTTTGTGGTCCATCAGCTGCTGCTCCCTGTCCAGCAGGATCCTGTGGGCACTGCGAGGTGGGTTCCTGGCTCTGATGGAGGCCGTGCTCATGCGAGGTCAGAAATGTCCCCTATGCACTCCTAACCTGATGATTGAGCTGTGGGTGTCTGGATGAATCCTCTTGTTCTGTTCACCCAGTGTTCTGTCAGAGCTGGGGTGAGTCTGGCTGGAGGTTTCTATGGTTTCTTGCTGGTTGCTAAGGAAAAGGATCGGCTCTGCCTCTGGGTCTTGGTGACTTTCTCTTTGCCCTGTCCTAGGCACCGGAGCCCAGCAGAACATAATGCTCGTTGTTTCCCAGCCCACTACAATGGCCAGGGCATAATTTGTGACTCCTGTCACGGCTGGGCTGGGTGCCTGCCACTCTCTTTTTTTCTAAGGCCTCTTTGAAGAATGAGACCAAAGAGCCTTCAAGCAGGAGTTTGTGTGTTTACTGCACTCCCCGCCCCCTCACTTGCTGTTTCCTTTAGAGCTCCAAGTCATTTTAACGATTTATTTCATGCACTTTACGTAGCAAGAAGCTGTAGCAACAGCTGTGTCCATGAATCCTTACCAGGCAGCCCTCAGTATATTTTGGTCTGTCTGTGTATTGTCCCTGGCTCAGTTAAATAAATCTCTGCTGGAGGAAGGGACTTTACAGCTTAGTGGCAAAGGGCTGGCGGATGGGAATATCAACAAGACACTTAGTGGGCCACTGGATCCTGGAATAGCAGTGCCTCTGGCACAAAGCTGCTCCCAGCAGCACAGCCGGGGGCAGATCCAGCGCGGGCTCTTTGTTGCTGTCAGCAGGGACGGCGTCTCCATCCAGCAGCAGTGACAGAGCTGCAGCTATGGGCTGGAGCTTGGGCTGGGAGCAGTTAAAGCACGTCTGGGACAGATGCCGCCCTTGTCACGCTGCTGTGGATCCAGGGCTCGGCTGTGAACCGTGCTGGGCTCATTTCCACGGGTGCCATTTGGGATCTGGGCATGGAGGTGCTGCCCACGGCCGTGTGCTCTCGCAGGGAGCTCAGCTGGGGTCTGCAGAGTCCTGCAGCACCAGGCAGGATTCAGTCCATCACAGCATCACAGGATTGGGCACAAGTTTACTTTTGCATATGGGATCAAAGCTTAAAATATCAGCTGGCCTTTCTCTCACTCCTGACTTTTCTAAAACATCTGAACAATTTCTTCTTTAGCTCTGTTAAAATCAATCAATCTGACATTTAAATTGTATGTGAATTTGATAAATAAAGACAGGTTACAAAATGCCACACGGAATGATTTTTTTTTTAAAGTTTTTCAACTACTTAGGACAAAAAAATGTTACAATGCTTGACTTTTCATTTAGTTACATAAATAATTTTTTTATAAATATCTCTTTATAAACAATATATAAATAGCTTTACAACATAAATACATTTATGCATGACATGAATTTACAAACAGCAATGTTATACAGCTGGCTTCATCAGTCTCTTGGAAAAGCACTGTCCCTTGTCTCGGTGAGTGTTTGTATATATAATATATATAAGATAGAGAGCACTTGTTAAAAAAATAACAAAACCAAAACAGTTGGTGCCATGACTCCTCGTACCAAAAAGAAAAACACAACCACATCTTTTGTCCATTCCAAGGGGGTCTCTGCTTCTCTAGGTGTTGCCTGGGGGATGGCCGTGCCTGGCCGTGCGTGGTAGGAAAAAAGTGGACTACGGATTCAAAGCCCTGCAAGGAACAAGAACAAAAGTGCCCATTAGTACTTGCCATGCAGCACCCCTTACCCATCCCCAGCCAAAACCCCTGCCAAAGTATCTGTGGCCTGGGGGATGCTGGACTCAGCAGAAGCCATCCCTGAGCTTTTTGCTTGTGCTAAATCAAGGAAGGAAATGCACCCTTTGCTTTTTGGCTGGTGTTCAGGGGAGAGGCTGAGGGAAGCTGCTGTTCCTCCTGGCCTTGTGTCTTTTTAATGAGAGAGAAGGGATGTGACCTGCCTACATGGGGTATATGTGTTCCTCTTGGAGCCCTGAGCTAGCAATACTTGGCAAAATGAGGGAGCAGAGAAACAGCACCCATCCCTCCAGGACAGGTCATAGACCAGCACTGCCATCCTGTAGGCACCTTTGGGTTGTGCTGTTCCCATTGCCCTGCAGAGCAGCAGGATGCTGGATCCAGTCCCCTCTGGGCCCAGTTATGTTACTGCAGTGCTGTGCAATGGGAAGAAGAAGAAGTGGCCTGGGATGCAGTGGTAAGTGCTTCCCGAAATGTGAGTTCATCCCTGTGTGTCCTGCTGGCAGGGCCAGGCCAGAACCGTGCCTCACTGTCCCCAGTACCCACAGGGAGACCTGGCAGGGGAGGCACTGCCATGTTTTTCCCAAACCCATCACTTTAGGGAAGCGACACTCCTTCACCCATTGGTTGCTGCACAGTGGCCGTGAAGCACCGTGGGAGGAACTCCTCCCAGCTTCCCATAACTTGCTCAGATATAAAGCTGCAGTTAGGAAAGTGCTACTCGTGGCTGTCACCACACCTAGAAGACACCTGGGGAACTTATGTGTTGTTTTTCCTTAAATTAAAAGCACTGGAGCATGGCTGGGACAGGAGTGTCCCTAACTCTCCAACTCCAGGCACACAGGGGGTACCCTGCCCTCCCAACACCTATCTGTCGGTCAGCTAAGTGTGTCAAGCAGAGGGGGAAACTAGGAATACGTGGCTGCACAGGGGCTCCTCCTGCATCGTGCCCGGGTCTAGCTCAAATTAGGGGGAATCCAGTTTGAGCTGCTGCAGGAGCAGCTGAGGTCTCTGACCCTTCTGCAGGGCAAGGCAGCGGGAGGGCCGGTGGATTCCGGAAGGGAATAGAAAAAGGCCACCTTTGGCGTCCTCCCCTTTGCCCTCCAGCAAAGCCGGAGGCTCAGCGGGGTGACCACCTCCAGTCCCGCCCGCTGGCATCCCGCGTTCGCAGGGCAGCGCATCTTGCGCATCTCCCACGGTACCGGAGCGCAGCCCCCCGGCCCCATCCCGGCCCCGGCCCGGCCCGGCCGCGCACTCACCGCCAGGGGTCCCTCAGCATCCGAGGCCGCTCATGGCGCCGATGCGATCCAGCTTGAGCCCGAAGCAGCCCTTGCCCAGGCCCTTCTTGTGGAGGCCCTTGTGGCGGCGGCCCGGCGGGTCCTGCAGCAGCCGCGCCCAGCCCGCCCGCGGCCGCGCCTCGGCCCGCGCCTCCCGCGCCTCCCGCGGGCCCGAGCCGCCGCCGCTCCGCTCCTTCTCCCGCTCCTTCTCCCGCTCCGCCGCCTCGGGCGGACCCGCCGCCGCTGCCGCCGCTGCCGCCGCCGCCGACCCGCGGGAGGCCTGTGGGGAGGAGAGGGTCAGAGCGCCGCCGTCCCCAGCGATCCCCATCAGTGTTGGGGACACCCCGTAAGGGACGCGCAGAGGGGTCGGTGTAGCCCCCCTGCGATGCAAACTCGTGACTGGGTCTGTGCCCGGCAGTGCAGTCCATCACCCCGCTGCTGTGCCCAGGGCATCTTCTCCCCTCCCGAAATCTGTGCTCCCTTCCCTGGGGTCAGAGCATCCCCCCGACCCACACCATAGCGGTGTCTTCCTGTCCCGGTCACTGCATATCCACCAAAGGGCTGGTGGTGCTGCACACCTCAGCTGTGCTGCTGTCACTAACCTGTCGTCCCCTTCCATCCCGTCCTCCCCCCAGCCATAATCTGAAGGGGTCTGAAAGCTGGCAGGTCCTTTCATTTCAGATCCCTTCGGTCACTGCATCCCTCACCGGTTTACAGACCTCTTCAGATTATGGGCAGGGGTCCTACCCCACAGCTCCCCGTGCACCACTGCCTTGCAAACTGTTCCCAGCAATGGTGGGGAGGTCAGGGATCCTCCTCCCTGCTGCTCCCTCCCCCAGTTAATGCTCTCTGTGTCCTCCCAATCCTCGAATTCTGACCCACAGTTAGAGGGACACACCTCCTTCCTTACTGTTCCCCCATCTCCCAGGCCTTCCATCTCTCTCCCTGCTCAGAGCTGCTGCCCACCAAGCCCTGGAAATGTTCATCCTCATTCATTTTCCCAAAATCCCCCTGTATCAACACTTTCTTCAGCCTGCACCCCAGTGCCTTACAGGGACACCGCCACTCCCATCCCACGGCTGCCCTGGGGCACTCGTCAGACCGGGTCCCCATCTCTGTGCCCAGACCTCAGGGCAGCACCACCCAGTGTCGGTGGCCTCGGGCACATCCCTCGTCCTCAGCATCTCGGGACAACCAGGTCCTTGGGACACTCTCATTTGGGGCGCCCCTTCCCCATGGGACACGCGGGGACGGGACAGCCACCTGTGTGTCCCTGCCCGGCCTGTTTGGCCCGGACTGCCCGGAGGGCTCCGCTCCCGCACCCTGTCCCCCCGTGCACCTGCTGCTGCCCCGCTCCGGCTCCGCTCCCCTCCCGGTGCCCGGCACGGAGGGGTCCCAGGGTGACTGCGGGGAGCGCACTGCCGCCTCCCCTGCCCCGATCCCGCGGGTTGCACCGCGTCCCACTCCAGCCTCTGGTTCGGGGCGGATGTCCCCGGACGTTCGGGACAGCCTGGAGAAGCGGGGAGTCCCCCTTGCAGACAAACAGCCCATGCGGAGAGAAAAACCCCTCTTTGCGCTGACTCTGGCACCCCACAGGCACCCCACATTCCCCCTGTGCCGTTAGAGCTCTGAGCGGGACCGGGAGAGGAGAAAGAGCCGGAGAAAAGGAGAAAGCTCCAGCCGTACCTTCTGTGGGAGCTGAGACGCCGGCTTCGCCTCCAGCCTGACGGAGAGCAGCGCGAGTAAAAGTCCACCAGCCAGCAAGGGTGAGATCTGCATCCTGCGGGGCCGAGCAGCAGGGGGGCCGGGGGGGCAGCGGGGAGCCGAGGGCAGCCCCGGGGAGAGGACGGGACCGGCGGCAGGCAAAGTTCAGAGCGGAGCCCCGAGGTCCCTCCTGCCGCCTGCGAAGTGCCGAGCTAGTGAACTTGGGCTGCTTTCTGCTTCATTCATTTTATAACCCAACCTGCTCGGTGATGTCATCTAAATACCCAGGTCCAACCCGGCCTGCACTCCACAATAGCAGGAATTTAAAGGGGGGGTGGTGGTATCCCCTCTCCCCTGGCAGTAACAAATGACACCAGACAAGCAGCTCGGGGAGCCGGAGACCCGAAAGGGAAAGCGGGGGGCATTTGGCTTGATGCCCCCGCTCCCCCCAAACGCCCCTGGCCCCCCTGGAGCTGCGTGCCCTCCCTGGCCGGCTGCCCCGCGGCCCCTCGGCTCCCGCACTGCCCCGCTCACCTCCCGCGGAAGGACACGGGCCAGGCGGGGGTGGTCCCGGTGCGGGATTCATCCCAAAAGACAGCAATAAGCGCAAAAAGCACATTTTTTTTTTTTTCTCCTTTTTTTCCCACATCCAGGATTAAATCAGAAATTGTGCCTCCCAGATCCATGCTTGGCAGGAGCAGGGCCATTGCCCTCCGTGACAGGGACATGGGGGACACAAAGGGATGGAGGGGGCAGCGGTGCTTCCTGAGGGCACCTGAGTGGATCTCTCGGATCGGGCACTGACCTGCTCCCTCTGCTTCTGGGAGGATCTTGAGGGTGTTCCTGGCCCTGGAGATGGGGCTTTTCCAGCACCCTGGGGATGTCCTCTGCAAGGCACAGTCAGTGTCACAGGGTCCCTTATGGGGACAGGACCTCACTGGCTGACCCATGCGCAGCCTGGCCTCCCTCTGACCTTCTCCTGGAGCCAGAGGGTACAGGAGAAAGGTGTGATCCTGGGATTGACCCCAGTGGATCCCAGGGCTTCTGAGGAGGCCCCTTGCTCTCAGCTTTCCCCTTCCCTGGCTGGCAGGGCAGGATTTGTGCCTCTGCTGCTGCTGGGACTGGCGATGGGCGGCTCTGGAGCTCTGCTGGAGATGGAGCTGAGCATTGTCCCTGGCCCTCTGAACAGGGGGAATGCTCTTATTGGCATGAGGAAAGACACCCCTTCCTTTGCAGCTGCATCCAGGGCTGAACTGCATTAAGCTGGATTTGCACCCCAAATTCCTTCCCTGACACCAGGGAAACATTCTCTGCTCATCCCCCTGTCCCTGGAGTCTGTTTCAGTCTGGTCCTTTCCTCCTGCTCTGTATCCTGGTCTTTCTGGGCTCTGCTGCTCCACAAATCTCTGGGAAGCTGCCCCTGCTGGGGGACCATGGCTCTTTGGGGGTCTGTAGGATCCCTGATCAGGAGCAGGGAGATGTTTCCTCCTCCACAGCCCGGGCTACTGGGCACGGGACACTTCAAACGAGATCAGCTTTTCAGCTCCATGTGAACGGGAGCTGGAAGGAGAAGGTCTCGGTGTTTTTTCCATTGTGCCTGCCAGGTGGAGACAACTTGGACTTTCTGAGTGTGAAGCTGTGCTTGGGCATTTGTCTGCGTGCAGGCAGAGCGAAGTGATGGAGCCGGGATTAGAGCCGACCCCGGGTGCCAGAGAGCCGTGGGTGCAGGCAAGGAACAGAGAGAGGCCCCTTCTCTCGGGGCTCGGTCCTTGTCCCACACAAAGTGTGGCTGGAATGCTGCAGCCAGCCTCACCAGGGTGCAACGAATGGGGGCTCTGCACCACCATCCCCATCAGCAAGGGGAAAGGGGAGCAGCAGCTGAGCCTGGGTCTCCACAGGAGGAGAGAGGACATCTCTCCAGGGATGTCGGGGTGCCCGAGGCCACCGGCAGCTCAGCAACCCCCACAGAACCCTGCCATCAGCGTTCTGGCTGCGCTGGCTCCTGCCCTGCTGCTGTGGGCAGCCTGTCCCCTGGCTTCCCCCGGTGGAGCCGGGGTGGGGAAGGAGACGGGCAGAGGCTGCAGGGAAATGTCACAGCGTGGGCAGGAAGGGCCACCTCGCTTACCACCAGCCCCCCTCGCACGCTGCCGGTCGGGGTCGGTCCCGGAGCTGCTCCAGCTGCCCTCGGCCGCGGGATCAGAGCATCCCACAAATGCCACAGGGCGGTCAGCTCCCAGCCAGTGCCCGCCCGCAGGAGGCTGTCCCTGCCCTGGGCTCTCACTAGCGTGGTTTTCATTAGTGTGTTTTCTTTGTCACACTGTGCAGAGCCTCGGGTTTGGGGGGGGAGAGGGGGGGCTGTGCTTTATAAATCCAATTAGTCTTGTTATTCAAATTACTCTGCCGAAGTCAGAGCCCGGCGCACACAAAGACTTAACTCAAACCAGATCGGATCCGCTGGGGTGGCAAAAGCTCAGAGCTGGAGCAGAGGTGTGCAGGAAGGGGTTAAGAGTGTGAAACTCTTTTGCTTGGTAGGGTGGGGGCCCGAAAGCTTTTAACCCTTAAAGGGATGGACCTTCATCAGTGCACAGCCCTGTGGGATGATCGCCCAGGATGAGAACTGGCAGACTCAAGGCATGTGTGGAAAATGAGAAGTAGAGATAGGGCTGGGCTCACAGGGGTCTTCCCCAGGCACTGGAGAGCAAAGAGGATCCTGCACAGCTGCACAAGGACGGATGGACACCTGTGGGGTGGCATGGAGGGGGTGACACCCCTCCCTATTACACCCAGGGGCACAAAGGGAGCAAGGGGGAGAGAGGGGCACCAGGGCTGGCCTGTGCCTGAGAATACCAGTGTCAAACCTGGATTATGGGGAATGGGCTGCTGTGGGAATGCTGCTGAATCTTGGTGAAGTGGGGTGAGCCCTGAATATGGAGACTTTTGGTGTGTGTAGGGAGTGGGGAAGGGGCAGAGACTGTGCTGTGTGTGAGAGAGGACACACGTCCCGGTCTGAGGATGGAGAGGGATTCATCCAAGTGTGACCAGTGCCAGCATGATGTGGAGAGTGGGAGGAGATGGGTCATGGGGATCTGTGTGACAGCAGCATGGGGTGTTCTGGCTCCATCACAAGGAAGGGCTGAGGCTGCACCCTGCTGGGCAGCAGTGGGGCCCTGGCTCTCCTGGCTGAAATCAGGAGCCAGGCTCCAGGCACCTTCCACAGGATCATGTCAAGAAGGTTCACAGGATAGAAATGTGGACTCAAGTCTGAAGCAAGCTGCTACTCTAGCAGTGAACAGCCAGTGATTGATCTCCTTCTTATTCAATTCACTTCTCCTTAGGGAGCATGTTCCTTATTGATTTGGGAAATCACTGACCAGATTTATGTCTCTTCTTCTGCCTTGGGCCAGGAGAGCACTTCCTGCCCAAGAGATGGATAAGCCTAGGATGAGGATTTTCAGCTGATGCCATGTGAAAGCCAATCATCCCTTAGCAAGAAGAGACATCAGGAGGCTGAGTGCATGTGATGGTGATGTCAGAGGGGCTGATGTTTTCCCATAACCAGTGGCCAACCCAAGGAGTTGTTGGTCAAGAACCATCCCAGGTGGTGGGATGGAGGAGGTCCAAAGATGGAGCAGCTATTAGGATCAGGAGCTGCTTGCCCTCCAGCACAGCCACCAACCACCAGCCCTCAGGAATATGATGTACGCTGTGTTCACCAAGAGAATGTCACCAAGGATTTGATGTGCCAAAACAGGAGCTTTTCACAGTTGGTTTTCTTTTTTCAGGTTTTAGAGTACCTCTAGGGGTCTGATGATAGCCAGCTCAGTGAGAAGCAGTTTGAAGAGAGATTTCAATTTTCATTATTGGGATGGATGAGCAGCTTCTAGTGTATGCAGGGGACTATCTGGCCCCACCTCTGTGGTGATGTGCCTCCTGTGGATGCTTTAAAGAAAGGTTTTCTGGGGAATAACTCTGTAACCTCTGAGGCAGGAGCACTGCCTGGCAGCTTGGCCATTATAGCCCCCAGCCCCAGCAGCCACCAGTCTGTCATGGGGATGGGGTGGCTCCACACACTGGGGTCTGAAACACTGATGGAGATTTTGGCTTGTTTGACATCCCTGGTGTTTGTTTTGGATGCTGCTGCTGAATGAGGCATTACAGGAAACACTACGGGATTTTGCACTTTTCCCTGTCTCCTTTGGGTCTGGAAGAGGGCTCTGGCTGAGGGTACAGGAATGGCCAATATCCCCTCTATCCAAACTGGGATGGTGATGGGGGGACAGCCCACAGGGCTGCCCTGATGGGGCAGGCAAGAATGGGGCTGCATGTGCTGCAAGGGTTAGAGACCAAGAGGGCTTCTCTGTCCCCTCCCAAAACCCCCCAGAGTGGCAAAGCTGAGGAGAAAAGGACAAGCTCCAGGCAGAGACTCACAGGTCTTTGCTAGACAAGTGCTGATATCCTCACAGGCACAGTGTGTTTTTCTCCCAGGGCTTTGCCTTTTGGGATCTGCCATTCCTCCTGGGCTTCCTAGGATGCTACAGTCTCCTCCTGACATTCAGGGTGTTTTTCCCAGGGCTACAATGGGATATCTGTGCTCTGGAGCTGGGATGCCTCACTGCCCTGGTGGGAGCAGGAACACAATGTCTCAGGGTTTTGTTGAATGTCAATAAAATGAAGCAATTCTAACGCACGGGTGACTCCACACCACGAGCCTCCCTCTGCATCAGTCCTCAGAGGATAAGAATTGCACTGCCTCCAGCTCCTGGCAGCCTCAGGTCTGCAGCTGATCTAGGGGCAGGTTGCTGGGATTTTCCAAGCTAAATGCCACAGTTGTCTCCTTCCTCCTTTTTGCAGATGCCTTCCCTCCAGAAATGGGGGTCTGGCAGTGTTTCACCCACAGCTTCGGGGTCCCAACATCATCCCAGGCTTGTTGATTCTGGCACTGAGCATCCCTTTGGGAATAGGAACTGCCCAAAGGGGTGATGGCCCAGAAAAGCCCCAGAATGAGATGGATATCACATTCATCCCTGCAGGGAGCCGTGCAGAGTGCAGATCCTGAGAAGAGATCCAACAGACCTGTGGGGATGGACCCCCAGCCTACATCCAGGGAATCTCCATCCCAGTGGTGGAGCCGGATGCCACCAGTGCCTCGGGGGAGGGATGTCTGAGCCCTCCTGTACTGTGTGCACCCCAGGACTGGAGGGCAGGTCCTCACCAGCCCCACAGCTCTGGTGGCAGCACATCCTGGCTTGGCAGGAGCCTCTTCCACCTGGTTTGGCTGTGCAAACCCCT